ATATCTATGAGTCTGTATAGATATAAAATAATGTTATAAATAATATTACAATGCATTTTGCATTTGTTTCAAAATAATAAGTAAGTTTTAATGCAGAAAAATAACCAAAATTTTAGACACTTCACCAAAGAAAATATATGAATAACTAATAAGCAAATAAAAAGATTCTGAACTTCATTATTTATTAGAGGTATGTAGATTAAAACCATATTAACATCACTACATACTTTAAGAGCGTGATTATTTAAAAAAAAAAAAAAAAAAACACTGACCAACCATACCAAGTCCATAAAGATGTGGAAGAACTAGAACTCATATACACTGATGATAGTAAATATAAAATGGTATAACCATTCTGGAAAACAGCCCACAGGTTCTTAGAAATCTTAACATACACCTACCATATGATCCAGCCATTCTACTCCTAGGTATTTACCTAAAAGAAGAGGAAATGCATATCCTGAAAAGACATATATGAATGTTCATTGTAGTTTTATTTATAGTAGCCCCAAATAGGAAATGGTCTGAATGTCCTTTAACAGAAGAATGGATAAGCAAATAGTGGTGTAAGGTACTACCCAAGAGTGAAAATTAATGAACTATTGATTCATGGAAGAACATGGATGAATAATTATGCAGGTCAGTGGTTGCCTTGGGATGGGTAGAATGGGATACAAAAGAGCAAGCATGAAGTGGTGGTTTATATTATTTGTGGCAGTAGACTCACAAATGTGACACATGTCAAAATTTACCACATTTTATAATTTAAATACATTTATAGTTTATTATGTGTTAATTACAACTCAGCAAAGCTGTTTAAAAGAGGGTGGAAGAATCCCTTCAGAAGTTTTGGCCTGCATAACAGAAAGGTTGAGATTGCCATTAACTGAGATGGGCAGGGCTTACTGATGTAAGTACTGTAATTAAAAGTACAAACAAGGTTCTAGTGAATATCATAGGGGATGCAAAAATATGACTCTATCTAGGGGTATGTGCACAGTGTCAGAATTTGAATGTACTTGGAGGAGGTTATATTTCAATGCTAAGATTCTGTGTTTGGAGAACTTGATGAAAATTTGGAAGATTTTTCAATAATTGAAATCTATTTGATATAAGACTGATTTCCAAATTTGCCTCATTGCTAGTTTTCCATCTTTGGGTACCTAGATTATTTTTTTCCTTAGCTTGTTATTTCTGTGCATTGCCACAGAAATTCTGATTTTATTTATGTAGGGTGGGAACCACTATGTTTTAAAACTCCTCAGCTTACTTAATGCATAGAGGTTGAGAACCTGCAACATTAAGTCTCCTGGATGCATGTTATAAACCTAATTCAGACTTATTGAATCAGAATATGTATTTTAATAAGATCCCCAGGTGATTTGTGTGTACAGTATAATTGGAAGAGCACTGTATAGATTTACTGAATATAAATGTGACCCCAAGGTAAATACAGCAGTAGCCCCAGGGTCCACTTAAACCATAGTTCTCAAAGTGTTATTCCAGGACCATGAAAATGCAAATTCCAGAGCAGCACTCCAGACCTTCCAAATAGGATAACTATGGGTGGGGGCTCAAGGTTTTGTGATTTTACTAGTCTTCATGAGATTCTGTACATGATAGAGCTTAGAAGTGTTGCACTAGAAATTTTTCTTTATGAATTCCTCAACATAACTCTCTGTTTGGGGATGTAGCTCAGTGGTAATTTGTACTTAGCATGCATAGGACTCTGGAAAGAAGATATTGATTGAAGGAAGTGTCATTAATGTCAGTACCTTAATTTGAAACTATTTAGCAAAAGGAAAAATAAAAACAACAACCTGTGTGTATGGATATACTTAGAGAAAACATGTACGACAAAGGTATTATTGTTATCGCCTTTTACAAATGTAGAACCTGGGTTCAAAGAAAGTAACTAGTCCAAGACGATCAGCTGGCAAGCAAGTGGTGGAACTGGAACTTGAATCTCTGTGACCTTTATATGTCACCACAAGCTGGAGTTTGATGCTGTTTTATGTGTTAGCTTGCCTGGTTCATCATCTCAGGTATCTGGGTGTGTGGCTTTGTTACATTCCTCAGGCATAGGAGCAAGCTTGAAAATGTACCCATTGACTTCCATTGCTATTAGTCAACCTCTCACCCTACACAGGCACATCCCTTCATTAGACTTTGAGTGTATGTGTAAACATGTTTTATTTATTTACTTGTTTGTTTTGCAGTACTGGGAATTGAACCCATGACCTCCTGCATTGTGAGGCAAGCCCTCTACCACTGAGCTGTGTCTTCAGCCCTTTTGTAAAATTTGTAGATGGGACTTGGTCAGTTGTCCAGGCTGCAACTTGTGATCCTCTTACCTCAGTCCCCTGAGTAGCTGGACTTATAGATGTACACTACCACACCCAGCTGTCTAAGCATGTTTATATGTTTTAACTTGGCTCTAATTAGAATCAGATGTTCTTTGGTTTTATTGGGAATATGCAGAAATGTGCTTGATTTGAGTAGCCCAGGTACTCAAATCAAGTTTTGAGGCCAGTTTTTAATTTGATGAAGTTGCAAATTTTCCATATTGGTGGCTTTGAGATTTAGGATTGATTCCAAAGCAGTGGAGACTGTTAATTCAGTATTTCACATATTTTATACTTTGTTTCATTCCATAGAACATTTGTGATGATTAAACATTAATGTTAAGTAAGTTGCTTTTCCTCTTGTAACATTTCTTTAAAGTTCTGATCCAAATTAGGCTTGGATGAATTTATTAGGTTGATGGCTTTTTTTGTAGCAATAATTTATTCTAACCGGCTGGTTAAAGCATCATATTTAAGAATTGTTTTGCTTTAAATTGATGACCTTTTAGAGTTGTTCTTTTGAGTTTAATTGAACTCATAGTGGCATTTTTAGATAATGTGTGATAAGAGCATCAAGAGACAGAACCAAAATGGTTTTATTTACTTTTATATAAACTAAATTGCCCTTGTGACCCAGCATAAAATCTAAGTGCTAAGAGCAGTTATTAATATTGACACCAGAATTAATTGAGTCTAAAACAGTCAAAATTCCAGTTGTAGTGAACTATTCATTAAGATTCTTACTCTGGCTTTAGTACTGTCAAAAAAATAACTAGTCTTATGATTAAATAGCAGAATGATGGGCAGTACACTGCATTTGAGAGAGATGCTGAATAAACTTTCCACTTGTGAAATAGTTCAGAAGTGACATGCTTCAAGGGGGGTCAGTCTGTGCATTGATATCCAGCTGAGCTGTCAACTGGCACTGAGCCAGGCACGCAAAGCCTTGCCGTGTGAAGGAACATGTGGAGCATATGCATTTGAGAAAGAAAATCTTTCTGTACATGATTTAATGGTTGTTTTTTTTTTTTTTGAAGATTGTATTTAGTTTTATTATATTAGAAACTTGGTATTTCTGCCTTTAGAAGAAAAGTTTATGTGGATGGTACTTAAAATTTTATAACTTGAAAGGATTTGACATTTTATATTTGAAAAATATTTATTTTGAATATTTTAATTGGATATTTTTTTTATTTTGAATAGATTTTAGAGGCTTTTTAGAAGCAAAGGGGAAATTAATCAAAATATGTCTACATAGGAAAAGGGTTTTTGAGGAAGAAATGTGGACTTTTGTTTGAAGACTGGTTTTATAGTTAAAGGATATATTTACTCTTTTTACATATACCAATTCACCCAGAGATCTTTAAAAAGATGTTTTTATACCACATTTACTGAGATGATGTTGTAAAAGTAAATGCAATTTGTAAATAATGCAGATTGTTTGGCATTGGTGTTTTTTATTTTTATCTTTATCCCCCTCTCTAAAATGAGCTCTTAGTCTATTGGCTAATTATTTTTAGATTCTCCTAGTTGTAGAGAAATATTTCTTGCTGATCAGTGATTTTTTATAATAAAATGATCAATAAGACCTCTGATCATGAATTAGCACAGTTATGGTTAAGCTTAACATTTCACAAGAACCATTAAATAAATTCTCTATCATTTTTTCTTCAGATCCTCTTGTCATTTTTTCTTTAGTCTCTATTTTTAAGTTGGCATTGCAGGTTATACCAGTTACCTTTAATAAATTAAAAATTATTTTACAAAAATTCTGGGCTTTCATAAACTTACATAGTATAACCGGGCTAATATGTCAGTTTAGTGAGATAAGTTTTTTAGACTGATGTTTAGCTTTTAGGATATTGCAATGGGAAAAATCATGCTTTTGCTGCTTTCCTATTTAAATAGTATAGTATTTCCCATATATGAAATATATCCTATTTTTCATTTAAGTCTAGTCTTGGCAGTTCTCTCATTTCATGGCTATTTTACCATCTATTTCCTTTCTACAGCCTATCCCTCATACTAGCATTAAATTAATTTTCATGTAAGACCAGTTTACAGGTATGTGTGTGTGTGTGTGTGTTATAATCCCAGAGCCACCACTTAACTAGCATGTATTAATTAATTGATATATTTAACAAATATTTACTGAAGTCTTCATATTTGCTAAGCATTGTTCTAGGAAATGAGGATATAGTGGTGACCAAGACAGATGAGATCCCAAGCTTACATTCTAGTAGTATTTACCTTTTGGTACCCCTGTTTTTCCCATGAGCATAGCCAAGGATTTAGCAGCTGCCTCGTATCATTTTTATTTTCTCTTACTAACTGTGCTAAAGCTCCTTGAAAGCAGAAAGTATATGTTAAATCTGCGTCTTCAGTTCTCTAGTATCCAGTAAATTATTGTGATCATAATAGGCTATTCTCAAGTTTTTTCACTGTTAGGATTATTTGTTTTACAAGACTTATTTCTGATATTTAAATTAGTATTAATTAATGTCAACTTATATTTTAATAACACAGGAATACATTACAGAACAGTCTTGTCAATTACATTAAAATTTAAAAATGTAAAAAACAAGGATGTATTATAATGGAATTTATCCAATAATCATTTTCTACTAGTTATTCTTTTTTTTTTTTACTCCCCAGGCCTCATTGAATTTGAAGAATGTGACCCTGCTAGTGCAGTTGAAGGTAAGTTGATGTCTTATAATGTGCTAACTCACATGGCAACAGCTAGTGTCATCTGTTTAGTAAACAAAGAGGGGCTGCTAGCCATAGGTGTTACCATGCCTGTGGAGTGACATAAAAATCTGAATGTGAGCTACTAGAAATAATTTGAAAGTAATATTCTGTTTTTTCCAATCCTTACCTAAGAGTTTGGAAAAATTATTTGTTATAGTGTCTAAGTTTATTATTGGGGTTCTCAGTAGCCCTGGGACCTAGCCTTCTAACACTCACTACCTGTTGGAAAACAGTATTTTAAGTTCTCTGAACCTTAACTTTTTATTGCAAAGTGAAAATAATAAAATATAATACCTATACTATGAGAATAAAAAAGTTGATTTTTAGCATATCATCATGTGTTATGTTTAGGGTTTGTTTTGCATGATAGCAAGTCCATCATGATACTGTATCTGATGAGTTAAAAAACAAAACCAAAACTCTTGAATTTCTTAGTCTGAAATGAGAGATTAACTTAGGTTACTGAGGGTTTGTTACTGTTCACCAGTACACTTAAATTCCATCAACAATTACTAGCATAACTGACTCTTAAAAATAATTTTCATATAACTAGGGGATGAGGAATTGACATAGTAGAAAGAACAAAGATGATTTTTTTCTCTTTGGTTCTCGTAGGTAAAATTAGTGATATTCCTTTATAGTATTAGTGATAACATATGGACATAAGAATGCCTTACTACTGACATTTCATATCTCTCTTCTAATGGATTGACTGGCCTTTTTTTTTTTTTTTAAATTTTTAAATTTTTCATGGTATCAGGGTTGGACCTAAGGTCTTCACATGCTAGGCAAGCACTCATTCCCAGCTACATCCTCAGCTCTATTATCTTTTTATTCAAAACAACACATTTATAATTTGTGACCCTCTGGACAAGGATCATGATCTGACCTGCTTTTAAAACAAAATATAATATAATGAGTATTGTACTTTCTTTAAAATTTTAAGATACCTCCATGTGCTTATTTTGCTTGAGGTGACTTATGGGACACTTAGGAGAAGAAAGAGAATTTCATTGATTAAGTGAATGTTCTATAATCTTTTGGTGAATAATAGGCTAATAATGAATGAAGAAAAGTTTAAACAGACTATGATTGTGTTTAAATACTAGGGCTTATTTATTTATTTTCTGGAACCAGGGATTTAACCCAGAGGCACTTAACCACCAAGCCACATCCCCAGCCCCCCACCTTTTTTATACCTTTGTTTTATTTACTTATTTTTATGTGGTGCTGAGGTTCGAACCCAGGGTCTCGAATATGTTGGGTGAGCGCTCTTCCACTGAGCCACAACCCCAGCCCCCCCAGCCCTTTTTATATTTTATTTAGAGACAGGGTCTCACCAAGTTTTTAGGGCCATCCTAAGTTGCTGAGGCTGGCTTTGAACGATCCTCCTTCCTCAGATTCAGGTCCTGAGATGCTAGGATAAATACTAGAATTTAAAGGTTAATACTTTTATTTCTTTCATCCACATTTAGCATCAACAATTATAAACAAATCGTGTTGAAAACACAAAAAAATATTTCATAAGTTTAATATATTTATTAGGAGCAGATGTGTTTCTGTAACAATATACATTTATCTTAAAGGCATAAAACCAAGGAAAAGAAAGACTTTTGCTTTGCCAGGAATAATTAAAAAGGAAAAGGATGCAGAATCTGTGTAAGTATTTTAAATATTGTGAAAATCTATTCCATTGTTATAAGTGAATAAGACTGTTGTTGTTTTGAATTTGGAAAGAGAAAAGTCATTTGGAAATCACTCAAAATATATATCTAAAGTATGAAAAAGCAAACCTATTTTGTAAATATATTCGCCAGTTCCTTTGGTTAGAATATTGGTTAATTCCTTTTTTTTTTTTCAGTTGTAGATTGAAGCAATACCTTTGTTTTTATTTTTATTTTTTATTTTTATGTGGTGCTGAGAATTGAACCCAGTGCCTCACACGTGCCAGGCAAGCGCTCTACCACTGAACCACAACTTTAAGCCCTAGTTAATTACTTAAAATTTTTAAGACATTGGGTTTGGGGCTGTGGCTCAGTGGTAGAGTGCTTGCCGAGCATGTGTGAGGCACTGGGTTCAGGTCTCAGCACCACATAAAAATAAACAAATAAAGGTCCATCAACAGCTAAAAAAAATATTTAAAAATAAATTTAAGACATTATAGATGAAATCTTTAGTGTCTTGAAATTGAAACTTTTAAAATACTCTGATTTTTATAAAATTATACATGCATATTTTTAAAAATTAAAAGGCAGAAAAACCAAAAAATCCTACAATCTTATTATCTAAAATAAAATCTCTGGTCAACTATTTGATGAAAATCTTCCTGGACAATTCTAAGCTATAAGCATGTAGAGATATATGTATATATCAGTGGAAAATGTTGAACAGCAAGAGAGGGAAACCTTAACATATTTTACCATTTATAGGAAGTTCTCATTTTTATTTTATTTTTTTTAAGTTTTTTTTTTTAGGAAGTTCTCATTTTTAGATGGAGTATGTAGTCTTCTTACACATCTTATTTATCTTCTTTTAAGAATAAGAAAATAGTATACAAAGAATATATAATTAGCATATAATAAATTGAGCTAATATTATTAGCCAAACAAAATTACCATGGCTATATTTAAAACTTCTTAGGATATTAAAATAAACTTACTTAGGGTGGCCACTAAGACCAGTTAAATCTTGTTCTCTAGGCATGAGACCTTAGCATAGTTTTTGTTGTGTTTCATTTTAAGCAACCTATATAAGCATTCCTAATATAAGCCTAGGTTTGAAAAAACTTGGAGCTATGATTATTCAGAGACAAACTCAAAGTAAAGGAATCTTCCTTTCCATAATTACTCAGTCTGTTTAAACTGAAGAGATACTAATCAAAAGGCTTGAATGATTTGTTAACCCAGGAACACTGTCTGAAAATAAGCTTAAAATCCCTGTTTCTTTAGCATAATCAGTAGAACTCTTATGATATTTTGATTGGTGCTCATATTTTCAACATTAGAGAATAATTTGTGCATTGAATATTCTTACTTCCTATCTAATTACTGAGTTTCTCCTTTTCTAAATGTCTGTTTCTTTTTTCTTAATTTGGTTCAAAAATTAAAAGCATTGAAAGTGATTTATATATTTGTGGATAGCATCTTTTCTTCTAATGTTTTTCTTAAGCATTTATGAAGGTGATATTTTACTAAGAGGATGGAACCTAATTTCTTTTTGCAATATTGAAAATACATATTGAAGTTTAAACAATTTATTTGTTAAGTAAATTTTTTTTAAATGTAGCCAGTTTATGTGCTAGTGACTATATTGTAAAGAATAATAGCCTTAAATAAAGATCTTTTTATCATGTCTGGCTTTCACTACTGTTCACTCAATGAACTTATAATTTTAAATGCCATGCTTTGGAAATTATTTTCATGATCAATGAATTCCGGTAGGATTATTAAACCACTTGGATGTTAGATTTTTTTTTTTTTTTTTTAACAAAAGACAATACAAGAACAGAAAGTCAGTGCTTAAGCCACTGTACCACCGTCACCTTCTTTCAAACTTCTTGGCAGGAAAAATGTGAGAATTCACTTTGCTTGAAATCCTAGAGGCTCTTGGCATGCCTTTCTTCATAGCCTGAAAGCTTTTAAGTGTTCAGTAATTATGATAGATGAGTCCTGCTTAGACCTTACTCTTCCTAGAGCTTTATCTGCAGGTCTCATACTGCTTACCATGAAGGCAAACAGATAAGATGTGTGCTTTACCACACAGACTGGAGAGTTCTGGCTCAAAGCCAAAGAATAAACTGTTTGGAACATTAACACTTTATGTTTAAATGTATCTTTAAAAAAGGAGAATATGGGAATGTTCTAACATCTTCATTGATTTAATTCTCTAGAAGAATTATCTATGTTATTACTGTGTCTTTTCTGGAACATTATCTCAAAGCATGCATTTTTTTTTCATATTATATTCCTTACGTATGAGTAAGGAATTTTAAACTGCAATTTTCAGTGACTCCTTGCCCCCCTTTGAGATGGGGTCTTTCTAATGTGCTTTGTGGCCCAGACTAGTTTTGAACTCATACTGAAGCAGTCCTTCCACCTCAGCTTCCTTAGCTGGGATTACTGGCATGTGTCACTGTGCCTGACTTTTTTAAAGTGGCTTTTAAGGGATTTGCATTTATGTATTTATTGGGGGTTTCCATTTTGTTTAAGAGCAGTGTAGTGATCTGTACTTTTCCTTTGTAAATCTATTTCATCCTATCTTCCTTTAACATAACTCTTAAATTTGCATATTTTTCTGGTCTCTGCTTAGTCTTTCTAAGCACAGACCAGAAAAATACCTATTTCTATAAGATTCTTATATTGTATGCATTAATTATTTTAAGTAAAAAGTATAAATGCCTTTTAAGTTTGAACTCTCAATTATTGTACATTTGTTTTAGATTATATACATAGAAATTCTTTTAACCTTATTACTCAAGAACTTAGTGGACTTAATTGTATTCTGATCTTTTTATTTTAGTTTAACATTTAAAATAATAGCTTTCCCTAGGTTATATGAAAATTCAATATTTGTTCATCAGATACATGATAGAATACTAGTTCTCAACTATATACTCTGTTAGACTTCAAAGTTACACCAAAGGCAAGTTTTCTTGTTCAGCATGTTTGGAGAAAACCAGTTTTGACTTCTGTGTATGCCAAGTTATAAAAAGTACTTCAAATGAAACTGAAGTGTTTAAATATTATTTTAAAATTTTATTTACCAATAAATATAAATTATCCACTAGTTTTAAAGTTTTAGACTACTTCCTCCCTTAAATATAGACCTTACTTTTTAAAGCCAAGTTTCCTTCTGGCAAAGGAATTTAAAATAAACAAAAACTTTCTCTACTTGGAGAATTAAAAGTCATTAGAAAGCCTTATGGAACTGCCAACTTTTTTGGTATGAAGTATGAGTATCCATGGAATGAAGTATTTTTGAAAATAATTTTTAGGATATTTGAAAGCTGTTTTTGTTTTTGTCAGGTGTTATGGGTATAGGAATTTCTTTTTTGAATTTTAAAATAATTTGGTATAATTTAATCTTCATAATTTGTTTTCTCTAGATATTTGTGTAGAGTTTAAGTAAAAGTTATGTTTATGTACCAAAATAAATACTTTAAATATGGCATAATAAGTGACAGTTCTAATAGTTGAATGTTTTTGATACTTTGTTTTAATAGGGAATGCCCCGATGCAGATTCACTTGTAAGTAGATTTACCTTTGATATAATTCATATTAGCTCTTTTCATTAGAAAAAAACTAGCATGTTTGAATTGTTAATAGATCTTTAAAACACTAGAAAAATACTAACCATGTTAGTATAAATTCACTATTAAACTTATTTTAAAAATGTATCTTTGGTTTAACATTGCCAGATGACTTTCCCGTGAGTTAGTATTTTTCAACTACCTTTTAAAAGTGGATATTTAACTTTTGAAATTGGAGCAATGCTGTATCATTATTCTTTTTCAAGGGAAACATGCCAGATAGACTATCTGCATCCTTTATTTTATAAATTATAGTGCTTTTACTAGTTTAGTCTTAGCTTTATTAAAATACTGCCTTTTTGTTAATGTATTTGAGTTTCATTTAAAACGTTGTCATTTTGGAAGCAACAAACATGGTCAGTATTTTTTTGCACTTTTTGTTTTAAAGGAGGTTTATTTATATTTCTTGGTTAAATGTATTTCCTTATATATAATTAAAGAAGATATTAAATGAAATGCCAAGTGGGTTCAGTGGCAGAGTAGATTGAAATAAAGTGTAGACAGACTTATTTTTTCAAACTGTTCCTTAGATACTGATTGTATTGATAAGTATAGGAGTTTCAAATATTCTCTCTTTTTAAGGTTATCATTCTTACTTGCATAACTGTTTTTTCCTTTTACCCTAAAGCTTTTTGATCTTTTACAGTAGAATGGTTAACTAAAAATATTTTGTAAAACATTGTATTTTCTGTAACTTAGGTATTAACTTTTTATTTCAGTTTTAAAACAAAATTATGATTTATTAATAAATTATATGAAAATTAAGAAGTAGGATTCCTGAGTTAAAAATCATTAGAATGTTTCTGGAGATACAATGTGTCTTTACCTTAGTACTTGATGCCCTTGATTAACCAATTAATAAAAAAGCAGATGTGTTTTACATTTACTACAGTTCTCATCATGCATTTTATTTCTCAGTTGATTATCATAGCATTTATTTGATGATTGAAACATTGAATAAAATTATTTAGTACTTCATGTTTTATTTTACATATACTCTCTTAAATTAGACATAATTCCCTCAGCTGATTGATACTCTTCCATTATGATCAGTTATTATACAATTTTGAAGTTTAGCCAGTACATTCCTGGTTAGGGAAAGGCTAAAGAGAACACAAAATTCTAATGCCATGTAAGAAAAGATTGATTAATTTGTGTAGAGATGAAAAACTCATAAAAATTAAAAAACATATACCATGAGATGATTTGAATCACTGAAGGCAAACCAGGAGAGTATATTTGCAAGACATGTGACAGGAGGCTAATTTATAAAAAATTTTTTGTTTATATTAGTACAAAAGTCAAGAAAATGCCTAGTAGGAAAAGAACATACTCAGGATGAAAACAGGCAGTTTTATAAAAATAAAAATGAGGAATAACTGTAAAAAATGTAACTCAGAACTAAAGCAAATTAAAATGAAAATATTATCTCTCCAATTGTATTTTCAATTTAATTTGTAGAAATGTAAATTGGTAGTCAATTGATTTGACAATATTACCCCAAATAAGAAGTGAACATTCTTTTTGACCTTGTAATTCCCTGCTAGGAATTTACTGTTAATGGCTGTACTCACAAAACATCATATCTCTGTAGTGTACACCATAGTAGTAACACACTCTTAACTAAGGCATATCCATTTATAGAAGGTGAGGGAGAAGGGAGAAATTGATATTAATTCCAACATTATATTACACTTAGCAAAAAACTGGAACATCAAGACATCCTTCAAAATGAGAAATGGTTGAATGAATTATTAAACATTCACTTGACAGGGTAATAATCAGATGTTATAAAGAATTAGGTTGATTTCTGTCTGCTGATATGGAAAGAACTTACCAATTAAAAGATAGTATAGTCTTTGAAGCAGTTGCTATTTTAAAAGTAATATAAATATGTAGGTATATTGGTTACCTTTTTTTTAATGAGTTATAAGACACTTAAATGTGGTTACCTTTGAGCATGAAAAGATTTTCATTTTTTCCTTTTATTTATGGCTAATTATAGTTTATTTATGACCTGTTCATGCCCTTATCTTACTAATTATTTTTTAAAATAATTAGGCTGTCTTGGTAGAAAAATTATTTATTGTTAATTTCTTATTTTTTAAAAAAAAGTGTATATAATTTTAAAAAATTAATTTGGGGGATTGCATCTTTTGAAAGTTGGCCAAGGAAATATAAATTGCTCCTTTTTTTTTTTTGGCTAATAAACCCAATGCCAGAGTGAAATTTCAAAACATTCCATTGAATATTGAGCTCCCTTATAGTATGTATTTTTTAAAAATCACCATTACTACTATACTACTACAATATCTGCCTTTAAAATTGGTGGATCAAGTTGCCTGTTCTTCATACTGGTTTCTATCTAATGTGTCACCCCAGCAATGTGGGTCCTATGTAGAAATTTTTGATTGAATGTCTAATGATATATGTGAGGCAGTGTATAGGTTTTAATTAAATGTCATGCTTTGTTATTTGCAGTACTGAGTATTAAACCCAGAGCTAGTGCATACTCTGCTAGCACTCTTATTACTGAGCTACATGCCAAGCCCTTTTTATTTTTTATTTTGAGACAGGGTATAAGTTTCCTAGGCTGGCCTTCAACTTGTGATCCTCCTGCTTCAGCCTCCCTAGTAACTGTAAATATAGATGTGCCCTTTTCTTACTAGGGCACACCTATAATTTGACCTTACTTGCCAGGCCAAGGTTTTATTAATATCAGATTTCTTTGAATAGTTCTAGCATTGAAAAGCTAGTACATTTAGAATCACTGTTTTAAGAAAAACCAAAACTCCCCTTTTTTTAAAAAAAATTTAAAACCCCTTTTTATATGGAAATAATTACAGCTTTACAGAAGGTTGCAAAGGTAGTATAGAGCAATGTTGTGTATCTGTAATACAATGTTGTGTATCTAGATTCTATTTTCCCCCATGGTAACTTCTTACAAAACTACAGTAAAGTATATAACTAGAATATTAAGAATTGAAACAAAACAGAACATTCACATTACCACAAACATCCCTCATGTTGGTTGCCTCTGTACCAGGCGCTTTTCTTCTTTCCCCACATGCTCCTTAACCTGAGCAACCACTAATCTCTTCTCCATTTGTATAATTTTGTCGTCCAGGAACATTATATAAAGGTAATCACATAGCACCTTTTTGAGATTGGTTTTTTTCTTCTTGACTCAGCACAAGTCTCTGGAAATTGATCCTGGTTGTTGTGTATATTAAGAGTTAATTCTTTTCTATTGCTAGGTAGTAGTCCTTGTAATGCATGTACCAAAGTTTAACTGTTGATCTATTGTAGGAGATTTTAGTTGCTTTCAATTTTGGGCTATTAGAAATAAAGTTGCTGTGAACAGTGTGTACAGGTTTTTGGGTGGACATTATATTCCTCTCTGCCCTGGTAATTTTCTTTCTAAAATTTGCTTTATCTAATACCAAGACAGCCACTTTTACCTTTTTAATTATTATTAATGTTTTCATGATATATTTTTCCATCCTTTTTCTTTCAGCCTACTTATATTATTATAAATTTGAAGTGAGTTTCTTATATAGTTGGAACATGACTTTTTAAATTTGTTTTGCCAATCTCTTTTAAAAATTTGTATTATTTATTTTAGTAGTTATATAATTTTTCATAACTATATACATTAAAAATTATAATTAAAATTTCTTTTGGTACAGGGGATTGAACCCCAGGGGCACTTACCCACTGAGCCATATCCCCAACCTTTTTTCATTTTTAGAAATATTTTGAGTCAGGATCTCACTAAGTTGCTTAGGGCCTCAAGAAATTGCTGAAGCTGACTTTGAATTTGCTGTCCTCCTGCCTTAGCCTCCTGAGTTACAGGTGTGTGCCACCATGCCTGGCTAATTTAAAAAATTTAATCAATACAGAATCATACAGTTTTATGTGTTATAGTGTGATATTTCAATACATGCATGTAATGGTAAATGATCAGATTAGAGTAACTAACAATTCACCACCTTCATTTCTTTAGCTCATACATGTAAGTCAGATCATATTTCACTTAACATAATGTCCTCTAGGCTAATTTATCTTGCTGCAAATGACATAATTTCATTCCTTTTGTGTCTGAATAATTGTGTGTGTGTGTATGTGTGATTTTTTTTTTTTATTCATTCATCTGTGGATGGACACCTAGGCATCTAGGCTGATTCCATGCCTTGGCTATTATAAATAGTGCTGCAGTAAACATGGACATGCAAATATCTCCTTGATATACTAATTCCTTTACTTTGGATATTTATGTAATCTTGAAATTGACACATTATATGATAGTTCTAGTTTTGTTTTTGTTTTTGTTTTTTCAGTTCAGATACCAACTGCCCAGAGTTAGCATAGACCTTGCTGGTTAAGTAAGGTCTTTTTTTTTTTTTTTAATTGGTTGTTCAAAACATTACAAAGCTCATGACATATCATCTTTCATACATTTGATTCACGTGGGTTATGAACTCCCATTTTTACCTCAAATACAAATTGCAGAATCACATCGGTTACACATCCACGTTTTTACATAATGCCATATTAGTGACTGTTGTATTCTGCTACCTTTCCTATCCCCTACTATCCCCCCTCCCCTCCCCTCCCCTCCCATCCCATCTTCTCTCTCTACCCCATCTGCTGTTATTCGATTCTCTCCCTTGTTTTTTCTTTCCCCCTTTCCCCTCACAACCTCTTATATGTAATTTTGTGTAACAATGAGGGTCTCCTTCCATTTCCATGCAATTTCCCTTCTCTCTCCCTTTCCCTCCCACCACTCGTCTCTGTTTAATGTTAATCTTTTCCTAATGCTCTTCCTCCCTGCTCTGTTCTTAGTTGCTCTCCTTATATCAAAGAAGACATTTGGCATTTGTTTTTTAGGGATTGGCTAGCTTCACTTAGCATAATCTGCTCTAATGCCATCCATT